CCCCTGACGCGCCAAACGAGACGAGCCCCATCGCTCTGTGAACTGGACTGGCGGCGGGGAGTCTTCGGGTGGTGGTGAAGCACGCGGGGATTGGCCCGGCGTGACATCACTGCAAACCGCGTGCTCCGGCGGCCTCTGTGAGCGGCATTTTTTCTTTCGCGGCTCGACCAGAGGAGATGGCAGCACGGAAGAGGTGGGCTCTTTCGCGGTGAAAACGGCGAAGCGAGCGCGCAGCTCGGTGAGGCCCAGGGCGTCACACTCGGGACATCCGCCTCGAGTAAGGGCAGCCTCTGCGTGGTCCAGTCCCAGGCAGCGGGCGCAAATGATGTGACGATCCCCGTCCTGAAGAGGGCCTCGACACGAGGCGCAGGAAGGCATTTGAAACAACGCCTTGTTAAATTTGCTCTTTTAGAAAGTGTCGCGGGGGCGAACACTGAAGCTTTTTGAAAGGATATTAGATGATGCGCGCCGGATGGCTTAGCAGAAGGGCGATCGAAGGTGGCTGAAGGCGCCGGCGTCCTCGAAGCAGTCCTGCTGTAGGCTTGTCGACGGCGGCGGCGAAAAGACTCCAACAAATCCGGAGGATCCAGCGAAAAGAAGGTTCTTTGCTGAAGGAGATTAAATCTAAAGAACTCAGACGACGGGGCGCCCAATATATAGCCCTTGGCCACGCCCATCTTGGCGGGCTCTGACGCGCGTGGGCGCGAAGCACGCTCATTGGAAGCGGGTTCAGAGTCGCCCCGTCATTGGTTCGTGCAGTTGCCGCAGCACAGCCAATGACCGAGCTGCCTCGCTCATTGCTGTATGCTGTGCAGCTGCAATGCGTTTTACATAAAGACTTTAATATTTCTCGAGAAAAGGAGTTTTCCCATAGCGTAAGCTTACGCAATAGGAGGAACCTCTCGAAAGGGAACAGTTTTACTGTGAAAACAGTGCTTTTCAGGTAGAAATTGAAAAAAGTAATCAAATGTAAATTAACACTGCATACAATCTTCATTGTATAAATTAAATAAAGATGAATCATTAATTGAAGTTTCAAAAGTTATTCAGTCAAGAGCAGTGAGTGATTGTCTTTTGTTGTTTGATTAACATTAAAAACACAGACAGCAGGAATATTAGGCTGCTGTCACTTTAAGACATAATGCACTGATAGGATCATCTTTAAGATGGGCATCTTGACATCATTTTTGTGTGCACAAAACTGCATGCTTCGGATGAGTGCACAAATCTTCTCACAGCATGCGCAAGTTCTCCTTTGCGTCTTGCTCTTGAATGTTTAAATTAGCAAGACTTGAATGAGTTTTGTTTAAACACAGATAGCAACGTGTGCTGTTCAGGTCTCACCTGCGCTCACACGCTATCAACACCCGGGTGATGATGGTGTAAATGACTGATATTAGAGCATACAGCACTCGCATTGAACAAAGTTTACAAAGAGTGACTGTTTTGTCCACACTTTTTGATCAGCTCTTATAACACATTGGGAAGCCAGAATGCGATATCCATCGACTGAATACATTGTCCAAACTCTGTTTTACACGTTGCTATTTTATTTGAGATAAACTATTTGAGATAAACCGCGGTGTAAGTGTGTGCCAAACCGAGGGTGGAGAACGGTATGGTTAGATTTTTTTTTTGAAGAGAACCATTACACCCAGGGTTGGTCTGTGTCCAAGTAGCCCAATGGCCAGTCAAAAGTAGCCCAATGTGATTTTCTTCATATAGGGAGACCGAATTCTCCACTGAATTTGTATGTCTGTGGGGTGTTTTGGGGGTGTCGGAGCGACAAAATCATACTTACAATCAACGATTGTAAAAAAAAAAGGGGTGGCAATCAACCCCTTTAATTTTTTTTTTTTTTACCCACAGCAACAACTTAAAAGTATCCCAATTCTGAGGACTTGGCAACACTCGTTACACCCCTAGTGGAAACCGTGATAAACTTTTTTCCATCAATCTTCGATGAATGGAAAGTTCAAAAGAGCAGCATTATAAATGTCTTTACTGTTGTCACGGTGCATGTGGAAGAAGAGAAATTGAGGCATGTATCTAATCGCATACTGAATTTATTAAAGCAAACCAAAATCACAGGAACACACAGGAATCCAATACAAAAATAACAGTGTTACAGTTTACTATCAACATCAAACTTAGGATATAGCAAGAAAAGAACCGACAAAGGAATGCTATAGATCAAACGGCTATAAACAAAAACGAGGACCTAAACTAGAAACAGGTGAAACTAATCCGTAACCAAGAAAACAAACAAAAAAAATCGTACTGACCCCAAACTTTTGAATGCATACCTGTACATGTTCCTGATTGAAAACTTTCAATTCAAGAAACAATGCTGTGATTGCTATTTTTGCTTACTTTCATGTAGCTCAAACAGTAAAGTGTGGTGATGCAAGAACTGTTAGAATGTAAGTTGCTTTGCCAAGCATCTGCCAAATGCATGAAGGTAAATTTAAACAATAAATCTAGCAAGATAATTTAATCAGATTATAGTGCACAGCAGAAAGAAAGAAAATAGCAGTTGCATAAACAGTTGGATGTATAAGAGTTAACAGAGTGAACAATCCTCTTTGCATTCCTCTGGCTCTCAGAGGATCTAGTGAATCTGGGCGTGAATTTCTCTCACTTTCTCTGTGAGGTGGTGTGGAAAAATCATGACCAAAGGTTTGTCCTGCAGCCTAGATGCCATTAGTGGCACAAACAAACTCTCCAAGGAGAAGTGTTGTTTGTAAGGGCTTTTACTCTTTGCCTCTTATGTAGAATGGCTCAGCATTCAGAGACACATGGTCATGGATCAGTGCTGCATTCATGTTTGCAGTGGGAGGGTGATACATTTTATCATTTTTAGAGACATGATTATATTATGATCATTTTCAATATTGTATTTTGTAGTGTTTGTCCAAACAAACTAGATCTTGACATGCAAATATTATGAATATCAATGACATCATGTTGACAGTTTTGCCAAAAGTTCTAGCGGTTTGATGTGTGCTTACTGACATAAATTCTGATTTGAGCCTACAGCATGCCATCTCACTATGACATGGTGAAGCATAGACTCTATTTACAAAACCTGTAATTAAACAGTTCATTTTCCCTAGGCATCGACAACGGATCAGATGCTTAGCACATTTTTTTATAAAACAAACATTTATCTCCCTCCAGTTGTAATCATATAAAGCATCAAGAACGGAGATAAATTTGGCTTGTTGCAGTTGTGCACTCAAAATAATGATGTCTCACATGAAGTCTAGCAAAAGATGACTTATGCAGTGAGATTTGTGTCCATGCTACAGGGCCCCTGCTGGGCTTTCCAGATCTCGCCACATATTTTCCCTCTCTCTCTGTTAGTCGTCCTCAGTTCAAATAAAACTTTTGAAAAACAACAGTTGAAAAAAGAGAAGCCACGGGAATGTTCTGGAACAATCTTCTGCTCTGATGATTCCTCTTAACATTGAGCTAAATTTGCTAAATCATGAATGTGTTTATTTGGCAATCCTTCAGGGTTACAAGATTTTCCCAGCATGTTCTCACAAATATATGAGATAAAAATGCCAATGGTCGAGTGCAGTGTTCAGCATCTGACCTGGAAGTCCGTTTAGTTTGATTGATTCAAACTTAAATGCCATCATTGACCTTTTCTGAGCAGAAATGAAATGAGTATAGAATGAATATAGAAATTTACAGAATGAATACACTTGTACACTTGTTGACACTTTAAAATTCGTTCTTCTTAAATGGATAGTTGCCTGATTATTTAATGAACTTTCTTTTTTTCTTTCTTTCTTTCTTTCTTTCTTTCTTGGACACAAAAATCAAAAGTCTCTAGGCAGGAGAAACAAGTCTCGGTTACACTTTATTTTAAGGTGTCATTGTTACAATGTAATTATATATTTAAGTACTGAGTAATTAACTAACCACATGTGCTTGCATGTAATTATGCATTATTAACTGTTATTTCTATGGTAAGTACATGTAATGTGTAACAAGGACACTGAAAATAAAGTGTTACACAGGTATCATCTGAAACCAACTAAAAAAGTACCTAAAAACTGTTGATTTCTTAAAAATATCCATATTCTTTATATTAATATTTAGCGAAATAATTTATTAAAATATTCGATACTTTGAAAAGGTATGATTTTATAAAATAATTATAAAGATGTGTACACTGTGTGTTCAAGGTGTGAGGAAAACTTAATCATAAATCATAAAAAATCATACAAACATATAAATGTTTTTAAATATGTATGAAGCACAAATAGCCTACATAATATAACATGAATAAAGAACAAACATCTGGAAATAGTATATTTAAAACCAGCGACAGAATGGAGTCTCATCAGCTGTAAAGTATGTTGTTCATGGAAGAAGGAGGCGGGAACCAGCGAACGTTCAAAAACTTTAATCCAAAATTAACAATTAGTAAAATAGTAAATTAGTAAAAGACATACATATACACAAAACATAACATAAACCTGTCCAGGCCTGCTCTTCTCTCATCCTTCACTGTCGTCGCTCCTCCTTTTATGCTTCCGAAGCTCCTCCGTGAGAGATACGAGACCGGTGCAGCGCGCAGTGACGTGCTCTTCTAACATGGGCCCAAAAGTTCTAAAAGGTCTTCATTGGAGAGCTATTCGTATCATGTGACAATAACAGATGCAAACCAAATCCTTTTAATAGTAAAAGCAGCTGACAGGCTTAGGAAATATATGAATTAATTACATGCATTAAAGATCATGCTGCAAAACTTGTGCAGAATATGAGATGGTGAACACATGGCAGTCATATGAAACCTCTTTATTTCCCATCTATTAAAAGTATCGCTACAATATTGTATTTGCCCTCATGTTATTCAATAACCTAATAAATTGCATTCTGGGAATTTTAATAAACTGGTTTGCTTGAAAGTTTTTCCCATTTTTACAATGTTACTTTGTGCGTGTAATTGCATTTATCTCCTTTCCACTGTCATTGTTTTGCAGGGAACATATTTGTGGTGAGCTTGGCAGTAGCTGACCTGGTGGTAGCAGTCTATCCTTATCCTCTCGTGCTGGTCTCCATTTTCCACAATGGATGGAACTTGGGATTCGTCCACTGCCAGATCAGTGGATTCCTGATGGGACTGAGCGTGATTGGATCTATATTTAACATAACCGGCATTGCCATCAATCGCTACTGCTATATCTGTCACAGCCTCAAATATGACAAGCTATACAGCGACAAGAACTCTCTTTGTTACGTCGTTCTCATCTGGATACTGACCGTGGTCGCTATAGTGCCAAACTTTTACGTAGGCTCCCTGCAGTACGACCCCAGGGTCTACTCATGTACGTTTGCGCAGTCGGCCAGCTCAGCGTACACCATCTCTGTGGTTTTCTTCCATTTCTTTCTTCCAATCATGATTGTGACGTACTGCTACCTGCGGATCTGGATCTTGGTGATCCAGGTGAGGAGACGCGTCAAACCCGAGTTTCGGCCCAAACTCACGCCGCACGACATAAGGAACTTCGTCACCATGTTCGTGGTGTTTGTTCTTTTTGCCGTCTGCTGGGCCCCTCTCAATTTCATCGGCTTGGCGGTCGCCATAGACCCCGGGCGGGTTGCGCCTCTCATCCCGGAGTGGTTTTTTGTATCCAGTTATTTTATGGCCTATTTCAACAGCTGCCTTAATGCCATAGTCTACGGACTGCTGAACCAGAACTTCAGAAGAGAGTACAAAAAAATTATCGTCTCACTCTGCACTGCGAAGATGTTCTTCCCAGACAGTTCTAATGATGCTGCAGATCGGATCAAAAGCAAGCCATCTCCTTTAATGACAAACAACAACCGAGTAAAAGTAGATTCGGTATGAAAACACAGAAAGGACGCTGTAAACAAAAACCAAATAAACATTTCAGCTCCTTCCAGAAACAACTATTTATAACCGATATTTATAACCTGAATACAGGTGTCTGTATTGCTTTTTCTCAGTGTTTACAAGTTCATAATGTTTTCATTTTATATGCAGCAGGTACACCATTTTTTCAGGACATTATAAAATGAATGCAACAAACCAATGCAGACACTGTCATACATGGAAAAACAAGGTGCCAAGTGAGCAGATTAATAGCCCTTAAAGCTGATAAGTGCTCAACAATGTCATTTTATGATCTTTATCATATATATATTATATTTTTTAGGTTAAGTTATTTTTACATTATTATCAAATAATGCATTACAAAATAATACTTTAAACTTTGTTTATTGTACTTAAGTATAGTTATTTCTTGGTAACCTTGGTTAAATTGTCAGATAGCCATTGCAGGGCAAATAATGTGAAAAACAGTATTTCTCCAATATATTTGAAAGCAATTGTCTTTCCACAACAGATTTTTAGGGATAGTTCACCCAAAAATAAAATTTCTGTCATCATTTGCTCTCCCTAAAGTTGTTCCAAACCTGTATGAATTTCTTTCTTCTGCTGAACACAAAGAAAGCTATTTTGAAGAATGTTTGTAACCAAACAGTTGCGGGACACCATTGACTTCCAAAGTATGGGGGAAAAATACTATGGAAGTCAATGGTGTCCCACAACTGTTTTGTTTCAAACATCCTTCAAAATAGCTTTCTTTGTGTTTACCAGAAGAAAGAAATTTATACAGGTTTGGAACAACTTTAGGGTGAGTTAATGATGACAGAATTTTAATTTTTGTGTGAACCGTCCCTTTAAGATTACTTCACAAATTAAATGTAGGCAAGCTCAAAGGGATAGTTCACCTAAAAATCACTATTTACTCACCATTATGTCATTCTGTATGATTTCCTTTTTTTCTGCAGAACACAACAGAAGAAATGTTGCTGATGTGTTTTTGTGAAAAGTCAGTTAGGTCCAAAACAACATTGGAATAAATTGACTTTCATTGTATGGACAAAAAAAAAAAAAAAAAATTGTTTTTAAAAATGTTCTTTTGTGTTGAACAGAGATGTGTAGCAATTTGAGGGTGAGTAAATTATGACAGCATTTATTTTTTATTTTTGAGTGAACTATTCCTTTAAGGGGTCACCGTAGCATATGCATATCTTATGAAATGTGAACAAAATGGTAAATTCTAAAAACGTTTAGAATTTAGTTACTCTTAAACAACTTATCCATATTTTGGCGTATAGATCAAGTTCAGTATACTGCTTTACCACCTTTGTAATGTCATATCAATGATGTTCAACACAGTACTTACTTTCTTGTTTACAACATAAAAAGCAAAGAAATTTAACATATTTGCTTGTCCTTTAACTTTTCAATGTTAATAAACTGAGATGAAAACGTCTCGGTTACGTATGTAACCCTCCTTCCCTGAGTAGGGAATGGAGACATTACGTCGGATGACGACGAACGGGGTTTCGCTTAGAAAGCCTATCGACTTCGAGTATTATAAAACAAGCCAATGGCAAAGAAATGCCATGGGTCTGCGGAATTTGCATGACGCAACTCCGCCCCACCTTGTGGGTATAAAAGGAGGATGCCGGCAATATGCAGATATGTTTCTTCGCTGAGGAGCCAAGACTGAGCTCAGGCGATCCCCGCGGTACAGCGGAAGTGGCAGGCAGACGTAACGTCTCCGTTCCCTACTCAGGGAACGAGGGTTACATACGTAACCGAGACGTTCCCTTTCGTTGTCACTCCGAGTTACGTCGAATGACGACGAATGGGGTTACCAGTCTAAGGGGGGGGGGGGGGGGGGACTTAGAGAATACACATATGACCCAGAAGGATGCATATGGAGAAGGCAAGGCAAGGCAAGGCAAGTTTATTTATATAGCACATTTCATACACATTTCATACACAATGGTAATTCAAAGTGCTTTACATAGAATTTTTTTTTTTAAATAATCAAAACAAATAAGAATAATTGAAACAGTTTAGAATAAAAAATAAAATAAAGTACAGTAAAAACAGTCGGACGAACAGTGGCACAGTGCTCATTCAGTAAATGCATAGCTAAACAGATGTGTTTTGAGTCTGGATTTGAATGTAACTACTGTAGTAGCACATCTGATCTCCTCTGGAAAGCTGGTTCCAGCTGCGGCTGGCATAATACTGCCCTACAAAGCAAAAAGGCAGTAACTACGCAGAGTGCAGAACAGAGAAAAATGACTTTAAAGTTATCCTGTCATCCAGCCTAAGTAGTTGTAGGTAGATTATTGGACATGTGGCTGTTTTGTTACTTTATATTAGCTTATTCTTTGTACATATCAATCCTCATATTTAATTTGATATTTTACCCCTATTTTGCAGTTACTGTATTCTTGCTTTGTATTACTTACCAAAAACGTGGCACCATACCAAGGGAAAAGGCAGTAACTACAGATTCTCCAAAAACTATTTTGCCACAACTTGGGCTCTGAGTCTGATACACTGTGTTTGAAATAATTGGGACCATTTGGACAACATTTTCAAAATTTTTGTGTTGCGAAACTAATGTTGCGGAGCGGGCGTGTTACGGATATGTGGTGTAAATTTTTAGTAATCAAAAATCATGTCTAATTAATTGAAATCATGAAACTTTTATTATAAACTATTATTAAACTTATACAATATTTTAAAAACAAACATTTTTGGTCAAACAACATGCTGCACAATGAGCTTTACTGTTAAAATTAAAACATTGAAGAAAAATTGTGATTATTCCTTTAAAAATTAAGTTTTAATCTTAATTTATTTGTAGTGTTAGTATTATTATTACATTGAGACGTTTCTAAATTCTACTGTACAGCAGTAATATATTTCTTGTCAAGTTAAACCGAACTTTTATTTTGACGGGTTGCCGTGAAGACCGTGTCCTCATATAGGCAAAAAAAACAGCTCGAGCGTCACACACGTGCTTCAGCGCGCGCCTGTGTGTGTGTGATAGTTTGGTAGGGGAACAATTAGGGGAAACACTGCATCTCAAACAAAATTTGTGTGAAGTTAGAAGCGTGAAATCGCGAATGTTAAAACCGTCCCGTGAGGATGCCGCGAAATCAGCTGTGTGTTCACCATGGCAACAGTAACTACACTGCGCAGCAACACAGTTATTTTTTGTTAGGTAAAACATAGCAAGAATACAGTAATGGATGTTACTGTACTCTTGCTTTGTTTCACTAGGGCTTTTTGCAGTTACTGTACAAACGACTACCATTTTTCTCCAAAACGACACACATTTGAGATAAGATGTTTTGTCACATAACAAAGGATGCCTTGAATGTCATGAAAATGATAATAACTTATTTTTGACCAAAAATGCAGTTACTGCCTTTTTGCTTTGTAGGGCAGAATAGCTAAAAGCATACTCTCCGTTGGTATTTCAAGCTGATGTGATCTTAATGATCTGAGTGATCTGTTAGGTTTATATTCAGTGAGCATATCTGCAATATATTGAGGTCCTAGCCCATTAAATAATTTATATACCAGTAATAATACTTTAAAATCAATCCTAAATGTAACTGGGAGCCAGTGTAAAGACCTGAGGACTGGTGTGATATGTTCATATTTTCTGGTCCTGCTCAGAATCCTGGCAGCAGCGTTCTGTATGAGCTGCAACAGTCTTATGGTCTTTTTAGGAAGGCCAGTGAGGAGTCCATTACAATAATCCACCCTGCTGGTGATAAAAGCATGCACAAGTTTCTCTAAGTCTTGACTGGAAACAAAGCATCTAATTCTTGCAATATTTTTCAGATATAGTATGCTGATTTAGTTATTGCTTTGACATGGCTACTGAAACTAAGGTCTGACTGTAGAGACACACCAAGATTCCTGACTTGATTTTTAGTTGTTAGACCCCTAGCGTCAAGGTATGCATTCACCTTGAGAACTTCATCTTTGTTTCCAAACGCAATGACTTCAGTTTTGTCTTTGTTTAACTGAAGAAAGTTTTGGCACATCCAACTGTTTACTGTTTGCCGCGGCTGCAGATGCCATATGCCCCAGGAGCCTCTGGAATAGTTTCAGTGGAACCGCACTCTTGCCCTCGAATTGTCTCAGGCAAGTCAGCAGTGACTGCGCGTGCTCGCTCGTAAGCTGCACGGACATGGCGACCAAGTCGATTTCCATACCGAGAAAAGAGATCCTCTGCACGGGGCAGTTGACCCCTCTTCTCCCAGTTGACCCGAAGGCCCAGACGAGCTAGGTGCCGGAGCATTAGGTCCCTGTGTTCGCAAACCTGGTCTCGAGAGTGAGCAAGTAACATCCAGTCGTCGAGATAGTTCAGGATGCGAACCCCGTTCTCCCGAAGGGGAACAAGGGCTGCCTCGACGACCTTCGTAAAGACGCGAGGAGACAGGGCTAGCACGAAAGGGAGAACCGCGTACTGGTATGCCTGCCCCTCGAAAGCAAACCGTAGGAACGGTCTGTGTCGAGGGAGAATGGAGACATGGAAGTAGGCGTCCTTCAGGTCGATCGCTGCAAACCAATCCTGGGGCCGCACACATTCGAAAATGCATTTGGCTGTGAGCATCTTGAACGGCAGCCTGTGAAGGGAGCGGTTCAGAACGCGCAGGTCCAGGATTGGCCGTAACCCACCGGATTTCTTCGGGACAATGAAGTAGGGGCTGTAGAAGCCGGACCTCATTTCGGCTGGAGGGACAGTCTCAATCGCACCCTTCGCCAGTAGGGTAACAACCTCCGCTCTCATGACAGGGCCATTGCCACCGACCATAGTGAAGCGGACTCCCCTGTAGCTGGGAGGAGACCGCGCGAACTGAATTGCGTAGCCGAGCCTGATAGTTCGTGCGACCCAGCGGGACAGACGAACCACAGACGTCCCCTCGGTGGGGCAGCGAAGCAGAGTGACCAGCCCGGACGTGGACGGCATAGCGGCCCGGTGTGGGGGCACGGTCATCATCCGCGCCCTGACAGAGGAGGCCAGGGAAGG